GGCGATATTAAGAGGCCATGTGAAACATGAGCCTCTTTGTTTGCCAAATCCATGCTGGATTACTATTACTAAACAGTATAGACTCCTGGGGAGGCAGGAGGAAATCAGTAGAACAGTGCAGGAACTAGAAAAGGTAGGCATCATAAGACCTGCACATAGCCCATGCAATTCTCCCATATCGTCAGTACAGAAATCAGTTGGCATGTGGAAAATGACAGTGGATTACGGAAAATTAAACAAGGTCACACCATCCATTCATGCAGCTGTACCCAATATTGCCTCCTTGATGGACACAGTGAGTAAGGAGATAGAAACCTACCATTGTGTCCTGGACTTTTGCAAATGCATTCTTCAGTGCTCCCATTCATGATGAATCACAAGACCAGTTTGCATTTACGTGGGGAGGCAGGCAGTGGACCTTTCAGGTCCTGCTGCAAGGGTATGTGCATTCACCAACCTCTTGTCATAACTTAGTGATACATGAACTTGGAGATTGAAATAATCCTAACAACATCAAGCTATACCTCTATACTGATGATCTCGCTTTGACATCTGACTCGCTGGAGGCACTAGGAAAGGCAGTAGATTTGTTAAATACTCATTTACAAGAGAAAGGGTGGGGTATAAACCCACAAGAGGTGCATGGACCCATCTTGTTGATGAAATGCCTGGGTGTAATTTGATTGGAAAGACCAAAGTACTACTCAGTGCAATAATAGACAAGGTTCAGGCATTCCCAGTCCCTACCATGCCAAGGCATCTGCAAGAAGTTTGGGGTGTGCTGTGATACTGGCCTTCATTTATACCCCAGTTAGTGCAGCTGCTGAGGCCTTTGTATCGATCGACTCACAAAGGCCAAAAATGGGACTAGGTGAGAACAGAACAGGAGGCCTTCCAGCAAGCAAAGCTAGCTGTTATAAACAGGCCCAGGCACTGGGTATATTCGATTGCACCCTTACAGCCAAACTAGACGTCTGTGTAACTCTGGGTGGGTTTGGCTGGGGCCTATGGCAGTGTCAAAATTCTGTTTGAACCCCAGTTAGGTTCTGGTCTCAGGTTTGATGTGAAGCAGAAGAAAGGAATATGGCCTGTGTCTTGCTGTGGAGGGCAAACCTACCCCTTCTGGTACCTCTGAAACATCTATGCTATTTCCTTTGAGTCTCTTTGAGTCACAGGATCATCAGGAGGAGCAACATGACATCGAGATGCTCTACTGTCAGTATAAGTTCAGCATGACACCCAGTGGTGTACTATATGGGACTGATAGAATTCGAGCTGAACCTTCCCTGGTTCAGGGAAGCACCAGAGAGCCACTGAGTACCAGCCCACAAAGGAACATCAACCTCAACCAAGAACCAATCATCAATCGTCTTGTATTTTGTCAGCCTACACTGTGACAGGCAAATTGTACAAAGCATTGTGGTATACTGGATCACTGTAATGGAAAGGGGTTACCTTCAACCTGCTTAATCTTTGGTTCACACCGTGAAGGGGTTGAGTGTAGCAGAAATGCTAAGTCACCAGTGATTGAGCACCTGGTAGGAAGGCAGGACCAAGCCAGGGGAGCTCAGGTGCAAGCAATACACTGAGTGACTGGAAGGAGTGGAGCCAGAATCCACCCTTTCCCAGACCACGTTTAAGGGTTGGCAGCAAAGGTAATTGAGGAATTGAGATTCCTGTCTACCTGAGGCCTTTCAAAGGTAGGTAGGGTTTGTTTTTTTTTTTAATTGTTTTTGCATCTGTGGCTGCTGTATTTGTGCTTATTCTTGTTTGCTGTAGCCTTAGATTGTGTCACTCTGCTATTATTGCTGTACTTTCCATTGCATTATAGAATTACAGTCAGTTAAAGTATTAGGGGGAAAAGCTCTTTTGG